ATTATGCCCCCATTTGTAACCCCCGCCCCATTTTTGTGTTTAGTGTGTATATATGAACTGACGTTTGTTTGTCCTTACCACTTCACCCATTTGGCCATGAGGTCATCCGACCATTTTGTATCTGACTTTGCACGTGTGACTGTCGCACGTTGGAGCCTGTTTGCTCCCTTGCTTTGCACTTTTGAAGTCCAAGCGGACTGTTTGTTTTGGACGCGTATCTACTGTCGAGGTTTGTACAAATTGTGAATTTCTCTTACCCTAATAGTACCGTATAGAAACCCAGCTCCGACTTTGTTTTGCCTACCCGGAGGTTCTGGTATTACGCGTCACTCGAAGATACCGTTCGACCGTTACAAATTGGGCAATGAATTTCGCATTGTGTACGGGTATTATTTTTATCCCTGAATTATGGTGTGAAATGGACATGGATGGAATCGCTCGTTTTACTGTTGAAGAGGAGTTACAGAAAGCTTTTGCATGACTGAAGCTTCACCGATGCGTAGGGCTAAACGGATATCGTCGAGAAAATCAGTGAGGTTGTTGACTTGGAAGGCCACGTGTGCGACAGGATACTAGGATTGCTAGATCCGTGGAGAAGAGTCGGCAGATTAGAGAGTAATTACCCAGCGTTCACTAGTTACAAGTGTGGGTTTCTTTCGAAGTTGAGACTGATAAAACGTTGGGGTGGTAGGACATGGTGAAAGATCATAGAGAAATTGCTACGATAATACCAATAAACCACGTGCCATTCTTTAGCAGAACAGTTATGTAGTGGGCGTCAAGTTTTCAAGGATTATGCAGATTTACATTTCCACGGTTTGCGAGCTATTGTCTGGCCCAGAGGATCAACATACGAAGAATGATACCGATGTGGAGGCACGAGCGCTTTATCCATCTGGAGACAGGTGTTTGGGAAGGCGTTGATAGTGGAAAAACAGCGCATTTCAAGCAGCTCCTGGGAAGGGTAGGAGTTAAGAAACGGGAAAATGGCGTAAGATTATTTGAACTTGTCGGACAAGTGTAAGTGTCTGACAGGTTGGGGTCCATATGTGGGAAAGAACTTAATTTTGGTGTTTTGTTGAGTTAAATGACCTAGGTGTCAGGGACCGATTTAGAAAATACTGGTTCCTACTGAGAGGAGAACAAATAAGTCTAATTTGGAATCTGTTAGTTCAGTATGAGGCACACGTCGTTGGCAACTCCGGTGCATAGCAATGACAGCTGAACAGGTTCCACACTCGGCAGCAGTCGAACAGCACCCATACTGCCAAAGCGGGGGAACGGTCATATTATTCAGGCAAGTTGAGACGGATCGTGGGCTTTCGTGTCAACGAGGCCAGCCGTAGAACTACTTGGTAAAAAAGTACATGATAGATGTGTGTGGGGAACGAACATTTTTAGCCCTGTTACACAACAGTCACGATATTCATTGCTAACTGGCGGAAGGCACCCCGTCCAACATAATCATGAAAGTATAATCAAAGTAAAGGCAAAAGAGGCACCAGTCTCATACCCCCAAATATGTCTGAAACTGGGACGGTCATACGAAAATTTAGATTGCCCAGCCACCATATGGCACAACCAAATTTATCGCGATATAAACGCAACGGAAAACGGAGCAGTGAAACACAGGTGACATGGGGGTAGCGTGGCGAGAAATTAGGGCTGCTGCAGAACCGAACCTGGAAGTGATATAGCAAGCATCACTAGGACAAGCTTTAAACAGAACTTCGAAGCCATGAATTAGAACATCTACCATTGCAACAAAGGGATGACCTTGAATTGTTGGATTTCAGCCTAAACCACAGAGCCAAATCAGAATGCTGGACAACACTAAGGCAAATTAAGGAAAGCAGTGCCTGCCAAGAGAACGTAGGTTAAATTAAAATTGGGCCAACCAGCAGGTTTTGAGGCGTTCGAATGATTGTTATTCGAGCGTATAAGGTTAGAAAACTGTTTACGTTTCAAAAAAACGGATGGTCGGCATGGAGAGAACAAGTATATCTATTGACAGAAGATCAAAAAGGTACAACAGGAAGAAAAACATATAGACGTTTCAGCACCAACTGAGCAAGCTGAGGTGGTTTCGTGGGCAGATATAACACGCTTGACCAGGAAACAACAAGTATTTGCTGAACCAAGGGCAGGTTATAAGACTGGGTAGGGCATTCACGGAACCCCCGTTGCGGCGTCTGACCCAAGGTTGTAGATAACCCCGTAAATGTTCGTCCTAGAGGAATCGGCGTCGGTTGTTAGTTTAAACAAGGTTGGTCAAGAAATTTTGTCGCAAGGAGACCATTCTATACACATTTATATTATACTTATATTGGTTTGATGTACCTTGCCCCTTCTGGGGCATGGCGAGGTCCATTGCTGCCGTTGCTACATCGAAGAAAGTGTGCCCAATGTGCGAGAAGTCATACCAGGTCGCAAAGATGTGTGTAAAAGCCATCGCAGACGGTTATGAAAACGGTTCACGTCGCGCGCCCCTAGCTTGTCTTTCTTACTCTACACGTGCGACGGCATTTTTTACTTTTCCGTCATTGGCCTTTTTAATCCTGAAGCCTTCTGAGGTTCGTGACTCAATCATTGGTCCCAACAGAGGCACTGTGTTTTTCAGGTGATACACGGTTTACAATTTTAGCAGACTGATACGGAGTTAGAGATGTAGAACTTCTGGGGTGAGAAACGAAAGCTGTATGACGTCAGAAGTCTTTTGTGTGTGAAACTGGGGCAAACCAAATATCGGATAATAGGCCACCCAACACCTAATCACTTCTGTCAGCTTCAGGAAATGAGCGGTGTATATCGAAGAGAGCCCGAGAGAACTAGCTGTAAATGAAACACATGGAGGGATAGGAAAGTTCTTTAAGTTTAGATGCATTTATTTACTCCCATGAGCATGAAAGGGAACCCGCATATGTCTAGCTTGGGTGCCTGAGCGGACCTTGTGTGGAGCAACCCCAGTTGAAAAGAAGGCGGCGGCGTTTTCACGCGTTGATTTCAACCAAAATAGTCGCAACTGCATCTTTACTGTACTCCACGCACTTTACCAGTCAAAAGGATAGACTTTGCGGTGAAGCTTCGTTCAGTGACGTTGGATTCCTTTATGCTGCATGTTTCGATACGCCTGATCACTGAATGAACGCAGCAGCACGAGTGGCTGTGATATTTCAAAATTTGCGTCACCGAATAATGAATCTCTGTCTGTTGTTGTGTATTCATCAGCTTGGTAGCACAAACTTCTCCAGTTGTGGGGTTTTAACCGGTTCCCTCTCCTCTTTTGAGTTTCACGTCTTCGGAAACACAGTTCACTAGTTTGGACGTCCGCCGCAAACTACCTTTTTTGAGGAGGGCGGGTTTACCGTCAGAACCATATATTCAGTCTCGAGTATTGAATTTATATGGTGCACCCAGGACAAGCTATGAAAGTGGTGGTACCGCTGACATATCGTTTGGCTCTTTGTTGTATTTCCCGCTGACTTCAAAGTATAAGGTGTGAC